AAGGAGGCAGTCCTCCCACTCAGAGTCTGAGTCTTACTGATCCCAAGTCTCCTACCCAGAACTGTGGCCAAAAATGACTCTATGTGGGCTGTACAGGCAAAGCAAACCTCAGGGCTGGTTCCCAGCTGGCCTGAGCAGGGGGCCTGCCACCAGACCCACCCACACTCTGACAAGAGTCTTTTTCACTTCCAGCAAGCGTTCCCAGCGACCAGCTCCATCCTGGCTGCTCGCCTTCCTTCCATTTCCATGTAGATGGAGATCACTGTGTGTAATAAACCACAAGTGCGTGTCTGGGTGAGCCTGTCCTTGTGGACTACCCCTGGGGCACCTCTGGCTGCGGTTTCCTGGCCACTGCTGGGTGGGGAAGGAAAAGGGGACTCTCCCTGAGTCAGAGCCATCCCAGAAACAGAGAAGGAAGTTCAGGGTTAGGGAAAAGATGGGACTTGGAGTTCAGAAGACACGGATGCACAGCCTAGTCTGGCTACACACCGAGTCCTCTGGCGAGTCTCTAACTGTCAAACTGAGCCCCTGTGTGCTCCTCTATTGCAGTTACCAGACTGCTGCATAACAAATCTCTCCAAAACTTGTTGCCTTAAAAAAATGGTCATTTTGGCCAGACACAGTGGCTTGTGCTTGTAATCCCAGTACTCTGGGAAGGCAAGGTGAGAGGATCACTTGAACCCAGGAGTTTGAGACCAGGCTGGCCGCATAGGAAGACTCCATCTCTACCAAAACTAAAGAATTAAAAAACATTAGTAGGGCATGGTGATATATCCCTGTGGTCCTAACTGCTGGGCAGGCTGAAGCAGGAGGACCACTTGAGCCCAGAAGTTCAAGATCAGCCTGAGCAACATAGAGAAATTCCTCTCTTAAAAAAAATAATAATAATTTCTATTTCTCTTGTATAGCCTACGGTTAATGGGCTCAGTGTGGGTGCTTCTCACTCAAACTCTCCCGCATGGTGGTTGCTACTGGTCCTATAGCCAGGACTTCAGATGGCAAATACCTATTTGTGGCCTCTCCACTTGACCCAGGCTCCCTCCCACATGGTGGCTGGATTCTAAAAGTGGCTGTCCCAGGTCAGCCAGGTGGAAGCTGTGTCACCTTTTAGGGCCAAGTCTCAGAAGTCATGTGCTGTCACTTTCTGAAAGAGTGGAGGGAGGAGAGATAGACCCCACCTCGCCATGGGAAAGTGTCAACATCATATTTCAAGGAGAAAATGTGGAATCATAAATCTTCTTGCGGCCGTCTGAAAAAATGCAAACTCCCACCTCAACCGTGAAATGAGAGGGCACTATTTACCACTCGGATTGTGGTTCCCTGAGGATCCAGTGCACAGAGTATGCAAAGAATGTAGGGTGAGTCCCTTACCCAGAAGCACCCTCAATTCTGATTTTCCTCCCTCCTCCTGACTCCAAGACTGAGCAAGGGCCACAGTCCTGCAAAGTGTTCCCACTTCTCTCATCACAGCTGGTCCCTATTACAGCCCTAAGAGAGGGACCCTCTTACAGATGACAAAACCAAGCACATCCAGGGTGGCCTAGACAAGATGGGCCTGCAGTGATGGTGTCTCTGATGGTGGTGGTGCATTACACTGACGGTGTCTGAGTCTACAAGGACTGAGGCCTAAGGAGGGCCACAGTATGAATGGTCCCCCTCAGACCTCTGTGACATGGCCTCCTTGCTAAGCAGAAGAGGCTTAGACATACACTGGCTAAGGAGGAGGGATATGTCCAGTCCCCTTCTCTGTTTCCCTAGGAAACTGGCAATAAGTAGCAGGCCACATCACTCAGCCAGTTGTCTGGGTCAACAGGAAAGCCAGTAGTAGGAAACACCACTGTGGTGTTTCTCTTCTGTGATGACTGATGGAAGTCACTGGGTGTCCACACCTCCTCTGGAGTTCCAGCACAACCTCACAATCTACTGCACGCTACACTTCACAGTTCCCTCCTCCCTCCATCCAGGAACCCCACTTGATCCCCTCACCAGTCCTGCAAAGCCCAGGGCTTGTGTGATAGGTGTCACTGTTTCCATTTTACATAGGGGAGAACTGAGGCTCAGAGAGGGTAGTCACCTGCCCAGGGATGCACAGCCAGGACATAGTGGCAGGCTTGGGAGAGCATCTAGGCTCTTGGGTTGTCTTCTACTTTGTCTTTCCAAAACTTGTCTGGCAGAGCATGGAATCTGATAGGCAGTTCCATGATGCTGGGTGGTTGGCAGGTAGATCCTCCTGGGGGTAGAAGCCATGTGTTCCCCGCTCTTCCCCAGTCTTCTGAGGGGGTCTCTCCTGCTCCTTTGGGCAGGATGGGGCATTCTTGGCCCACTGCTGCCCCCTTGCGGTGTCATACCTTGTATCCTAATGCCTGCAAACTTGTCAGCTGCAAGCTTCAAAATTTAGAGTCTGCTGAGTCCTCAAAGCACGCAGGGTTGAGCACAGAGACAGCAGAGGAATCAATGATTTGTTCAAGGTTCCAGCTGAGACACTGGGGAGCATCCTGCTTCACAGCTGAGTCTCAAGGACTGGGGGGCCTCAGATCTCCTGCCAAGAAAGGCAGTGCAGCCACAAAGTACCCCTTTCTGGAAAAGAGAGAAGTATATTTACTGACCCCTGCTGCGTGCCATGACAGCTAAACCACAAGGATAACTATCCCTTTTTATAGATGAATCTGAAGTGGACTTACCTAGGTCTCTTTCCTCCTGGTCCCCAGGAGACCACTAGAAATGCAGGGGCTACTCTTGGTTATCACAATGATTTGGGGACACCCTGGCATTCAAGGGGTAGGCCCAGGGATAGTGAACACCTAAAATGCATAGGCCAGTCCTACCCAATGACAAATCATCTCAACAAGAATCCCAGTGCTACCCCTGTTCAGAAATACCATGCCCTGGGTTCAAATCCTGGCTCAGCCACTTCCATCTTCTACCATCTTGGTCTCCAAAGTTGCCTTGAAGTCCAGGCATGAGATAAAGACAGAGGAGTGCTAAGCACAGGACTAGAGACAAGAAGTGGACTTTTCTGAGCAGGAAGAAGGTAAGGCTTCCTGGTGTTGTCCCTGGCCATGCTATAAGATACTCCTGGCCCAGGAAATTACTCAGCCTGGCCTG